TCTTACCTCTATAATTTCCAGTACATCTAAGTAATTTTTTACTCTTGCCCTAACATATGTCATCGGTTCTAGTCAAGCTATTTCAGGGCAGCTTTTACCCAAGAACTTTCCAATCCCATGTTCCCCTTTTCTCTACAACTATGCATATTTAACCCAACCTTCAAGGACTTATAAAATATGCTTATATATTAATCTCACTTTAGTTCTAATATTTTCTCTCTCAAATTTTGCACAATAATTATTGTCAATGGGGAAGGAAGAAAGAGCTAAATATATCCTAATCTTAGCTTAGGGTCTTTTCCAAACGTATCCCCTCATAGCAAAATTCTGCTATGTGCCCCACAACTACTGGTGAGTATCGCACTACTAATGTGGGAATGCATTCCCTCGTTTCACACAGCAATTCCACACAAGTTCATTCTTAGAGTTCTTAAGTTTATTAGCTCCTTGAGGATAGAGACACTGAATGACCACATAATAGGTGCTGTTCACCAATATCCAGTTCACCTCCTTCTAGGTAATTGGTAGAATTGGATTTCTCCAGCTCACTTTGATATTAGACCATGGGACTTATTTTGGTAAATGAATTGTGAGTGAAATAGAAATTCACATGCAAGTATGTTTTAGGATAGGGCTTCCATTATCTTGGGTCCTTGAGTAATTACAATGAGACTTCCTGCTACTTTGTGCAGAACATGTAACATGATGGAAAAATAAACTTTTATTATCATGTTAAGTCACTGAGACTTTGGATTTGTTTGTTTCTACAGGATGATGTTGTTTCTCAAAGTGGGATCCTTGGACCAACAGCATCTGAGAGCTTATTAAATATGCAAACTCTCAGTTTCTGCTCCCTACCTACCAAATGTGAATCTGCATTTTATTTTTTTAAATATTTTTATTGATCAGAGAGGAAGGGAGAGGGAGAGAGATAGAAACATCAATGATGAGAGAGAATCATTGATCAGCTGCCTCCTGCTTGCCCCCTACTGCGTTCGAGCCCGCAACCTGGGTATGTGCCCTTGACTGGAATCGAACCCAGGACTCTTCAGTCCTGCAGGCTGATGTTCTACCCACTGAGCCAAACTGGCCAGGGCTGAATCTGCATTTTAACATGCTCTCCTCACGTTTCATATAGCTATTAAAGTTTGAGAAGCACTATCCTTGACTATTCTGACAAGCACAGAAATTGTTATGGAAAAGTGGCTGGATCAGAATCTAACATGGGTAGGTACACAGAGAGCAGGGAAGGATGGCAATGCATGTTATGTTTCGGGAAAAATAGTTTGACTGATGGATATCATACATAAGCATATGGGGGAAGGTGTGAAAACAGGATTTCAGTAGTGTATATTGGTTACTGTTGGCTGCGTTTAATGAAATAATACAAGAGAGTGATGAGCTACAGAAAGAATTAACTGAATGCAAGCAGGAATAAAAGGGATTTCAGATGGTAGAACAACAATATGAATGCACTTAATACTACTGAACTCTAAACTTAAAAATTGTTAATATGGTAAATTTATGTTATATGTGTTTTACAATCAATCGATAAATAATAGGATTCTTTACTGATACATTTGAAACCAGATTTAAAATTAAACTTTTTTTTTTTTTCAAGAAAATCCACAGTCAGGGACTCCAGCATGAGAAGAGATAGCTCTTCTCAATCCAATAAGTAAAAAATTAAATTTAAAACGTTGAATAACACAGGCCAATTAAAACCCAGATGTGGCACTAGGATCAAATCAAGGGGACAGGTTTCACCAGCACTGCAAATCCTCTTCGTAGATTAAGGAAGCTGTCTCAGAGTAAATGCCAAGAGGGATATACTAAGAGGATCCAGTGAATCCTTTCACTTGGACAAAAGGTCTCAGGGAAAAGAAACTAAAAGCAAGACTCTCCCTCACAACCTGATAGACTCAAAGCATATGTGATTAGGATGCGGGAAAGAAAAAGCCACAGGGACAGAGGACAAACACGCAGCAGCCTGGGAGGTCAGTGCCCATCTGCACTGTCTGATGCGGTAGCACCAGCCACAGGTTGCTGTTGAGCCCTGGAAATGTAACGCCCTGTCTCCTACTCTGCCTCTGCTTGAATGGGAGTGACTGTGTGGTCCCCTGTCTCATCATCATTTATCAGATAACTTGTCCTTTTAGTTTAATGGTCTCCAGCTCAAGAGGAGCCACTTATGAACCTGATGTAGAGACAATCTGGGGCGGGGGTGGGGGTTTCAAAGTTGCACCTTCACCACAAAACTCTAATATGCTCCCTGAATCCATCGGTGAAAATTGCCATTACAGACACAGGAGCTATCACAGCTCTCATTTTACAGCAGGTATAGTCTGTGCCTCATAAATTCACATTTATGTGTAGCATCTTGAACTGTGGACATTGTATTCACATATCTTAAAATATTCCTGTCTTAAATAATTTGTCCCATAAGCTCTTTGATGGCAGAGAGTATTTGATGACCGCTGCTTCTAGCCCCAACTAAGCACATGGTTAGTGACATCCTCACAATACTTACTTACCAAGAGACAGACTTTAAGACAATGTATAATGTCAAGTGTACAGTATTATTTGATTTTTAGGACTTAAATCATCTTGAACTGAGAAACGGCCATCATTTAGGCAATAAATACTGTTGGGGAAACTTCATCCTAACTCACTGATGAATATACCTTCTCCTTTTGCTGAAGCTGCTGACAAATGGGCAAAAACACCAAAAACACTTGGAATAGCACACATTTTATTAACCACTAGAGGCCCGGTACATGAAATTCATGTAGTGGAGGGGGGTGTCCCTCAGCCCAGCCTGCACCTCTCCAATCTGGGACCCCTCAGGGAATGTCCAACTGCCAGTTTAGGCCCAATCCCATAGGACATCCCTCTCACAATCTGGGACTGCTGGCTCCCTACCACTCACCTGCCTGCCTGCCTGATTGCCCCTAAATGCTTCTGCCTGCCAGCCTGATCACCCCCTAACCACTCCCCTGCCAGCCTGATCGATGCCTAACTGTGCTCCTGTCAGCCCCATTGCCCCCAACTGCCCTCCCCTGCCGGCTGGTCACCCCTAACTGCCCTCCCTTGCTGGCCATCTTATGGTTGTGGGTGCCGCCATCTTTGAGGGCATGGCAGCAATTAGCATATTCCCTCCTTATTGGCTGTGGGTGCCACCATCTCTGAGGGTGGGGCAGTTAATTAGCATATTCCCTCCTTATTGGCTGTGTGTGCCACCATCTTTGCGATGGCGTGAGGGTCAATTAGCATATTCCTTCTTTATTAGATAGGATTGCTTTATCAAATGAAGTTCCTACAGAAGCAGAAAGAGTCAAAATGTAATACCATGCAGTATTTGACAACTATATGGATGTTTTGTGTAGGGAATTTTGTGTTGGAGTCCCAGGGCTGGGCTAATTTACAGATATTTATCGAATCACTATATTACATGCATTTCTTCCAACTGAAGACACATCTGAATACATGGGTTATTTCTGCACTATTTATAGAGATTAAAAGACATTTGAGCATTTTCTTAAAGATCTTCCTAGGAAAGGTCTGACCTTGTCTGAAATCATGAGGCACCCAGAGCAGAGGGGTAGCCTGGTGAGCTCCCAGGGGGAGCCGACTGCAAACCACAAGGGCCGAAGTGTGATTACGCACAGGATTGGAACCCTGGTGACCTTCCGGAGCACCCAGGGCTGTTAGGCAGAAGATTCAATGCACATTTACTCAGTCACAATAGCAAACAGCAGTGGAGTGCCTGCTCTGTATCAGAAGCTACTGCAGGCAACAAAGCCACAGATGTGAACAGGACAGCAGGGCAGCTGGCTTTCGTGGAACCCGAGTTCCTGAGACATCCCACGTAAACATGGACGGTGGTTTCCTTCATAATTATAGAGAGATCACTTACTTCCCATTCACGGATACACATAGCCTGTTCTGCTAAAAGGAACAGGAAACATTTGAAGGGCTAGCTGCCCCTTCAAAACTCATTTGCTAACAACCTGCTAATTTGCCATTTTCCAAAGATTTGGGTGTCTTATGCACTTTCCTGCTCGTGCCAGTACCATTTTCTGTGTGTGTGTGTGTGTGTGTGTGTGTGTGTGTGTGTGTGGACTCTGAGCTGCCAGGGGTGGGGTCACATCTGTAAGTTATTTATGTGTTCTACACCCAGAAGCTCCTCTGCCCCAAAGGGCTTCAACAGCTCATTATTAAATGACCCTAGTAGTACACTGCTTTATTTATAATTTTCCTTCACTGGAAAGAGTATAGAAGTGAATACCCCCCAAAAAAGAGAAGTCATTACCACCAAAAATAACAGAATGGAATACAGGAGCTATAAAGACCAAGCCCTTCACTTCAGATAAGAACACTGAGACCAAGAGGTCACACAGCTGCTCTGGTCAGCAGGCCTCCTGGTTTCCAGACTATTGCTCTTATGGCTGCCTTCTGCATCATCCCCTAGTATTGACCCCATCTGCAGCATTTCTTTAAAATAATTATCCAATCCCTTTTGTGCTTGACTAGTTCCCAAGGTATTCTCACACTTCTGCATGCAGCTCTCCCAACCATACTGTTCGGTCAGCACATTTGTGGAACCAGAAATGAAATGATTAAGGCAACATCACCTGTCAATGACAGAGTCAGGACCTGAACTCAGATTTTCAAACTCCATTCCACACTGGAGAAGACGGGACTCCCTGGGTGAGAGATGGACACTGACATTCTCTGGCTGCTGGAGTCAGATTGTGATGTGCAAAGTATACAGTGAGTGACAGGGTTTCAGACTCGGAGACAGACCCATCTTAGAAAGTAAAAAATGGCTTGGCTATGGGCATGTGTCACAGTGCGGGTGGGGAGTATGTAAGGGAGGCATGGGGACACTTGGAGCCCACGACATGTCCCCAAGACATTCATTTGGAAACCCCGGACTGAGTCAGAATAAGACAGTAAGAAGAGTCACAGAAACTTTCACACCACATGATGTAGGTTTGTAGCATAAAGTTTTATATCTGGGGAGAAGCAAAAACATGATTGACAGAAGTAGAATTAAGGAAATTCCATCCTTGGACAATTATGAACACAAGCCATTAAACCAAAAGTTCAAGAAAGAAGAGCCCCTATAGCTCCCATAGCAAATAAACAGGAACTTTCAAATGGAAAGAACTTGACCACTCTATTTTACCCTGGAAAGCGTGGATAAGTCCCAGGGATATCAAGGAAGTTACAAAACAGTTTCTGGGGAGAGAAAGCAATCACATGATGTAAATATTCACAAGTTTTCTTCCATTATGGTCAGCTCTTCATTCTGTGTAGACCCTGAGCACACACTAGATGGAAGATGGATGGGGCCCCCAGCAATGGGTGGGAGTAGGAGAAAAAGTAGTAGGAAAATGAGCCAATAGTAAATTGTCACAGACCATTTCCAAAATGGATAAGTTGCATGTGCACATCTGCCCAACCACCACCACAGGAAAAAAGGGGGGGAGGGGGGAGAGTGCATCTTAAGTACTAATTCAAGAGCGAGAGAAAAGATAAATGGAATGCACAGTTTTGATTTTGAGTTATCTTGATTACCCCTAACTGACTTCATTATAAAGTGAAGGAAGGAGAAAAGAAAGCTGCAGAGGGCACTTTTAATAGCTGCTAGGGAACCTACAGGGTATCCTGAAGCCATGGCAACAAATAATCTCCTTAAAGGTCTTCCGCATCTCTTGGCTGCGAAAGGCGTATATCAGAGGATCGATCACAGAATTGCACATGATGAGTATGAGGTACATGTTGAAGTGAGACATAAAGCAAGAACAGTAGAGATTCTGAGGGCAAGAGATCATCAGAATGAGATGGAGGAAGAACGGAGCCCAGCACACAATGAAAACGCCTAGCAACATGGTCAGGGTGATGGCGCCTTTCATGCTGGTCCTCTGCCGCACGGAACTGTATCCAGGCAGAGCTGCTATCTGCTTGACATGCGTCCGTGCCAGGAGAAACATGTGTATGTACAGAGACACCATGAGGAACAACATGGTGAAGAACATGGAGATGAGGCAAATGATGACGTAAGTGGACTCGTAGTAAATGATGAAAACAATGCCACAGCCTGTGCAAAAGATCCAGATGCTCGCAATGATCGCCCCGCAACGCTTCACTGTCATGATGTGGTGGTAGCGCAGGGCATAGAAGATAGTGACGTACCTATCCACCGCAATGGCCAGCAAGCTGCACATGGAAGCCACCACCGAGATGCAGATCATGGAGTCAAACACATTGTCAATATTACGCACGAAGGCATCTGCTATCACCAGGTGCTTATTATGTATTAAGTATATGGTGATGGTCTCCCAGGTGTTGGACATGCTCACCATCATGTCAGCTACAGCTAAACTGCACACAAAGAAATACATGGGAGAGTGCAAGTTCTTGTTCTTTATTATGGCGCCTATGACCAAGATGTTCTCCAAGAGGCTGATAAGACCCAAAGTCAGAAACACCTCCACGGCGATGCCCATCTCTTCACACGGCGAAGACTTGTTCTTGACGTTCGGTCCTGAAAGGTTGCCCTCTGTGGCGTTCAGGTTGAGAGCTAAGAAATGCAGGTGAAATGAGGAATTCATTGCTCCTCTTCTTGGCACCAAGTTTACTGCAAAACAGGTTTTCATTCATGATTCAGAGAGGTTAACAGTGCACCAAAGAAACACAGCAGCATTCCAGAAGCAAGCCAGTCCTGAGAGTGGGGGTGAATGGACCCAGGGCATTCACTGAGTACTAGGATTCTATGTATTGGAATACACACATCCTGCCGTGGATCCGGACTCCTGGAACAGTGTCCTTCCAACATGCAGGCTTGGAATTGTCACAGCCTTCTGGTCCTCCTCCTTCTAGGCCCCCATTCTTTCACAGGCCTCTTAGTAGAGTGACCACACAGCTCAGTGTGCCTGAGACGGTTTCACTTTTTATGCTTGTTGTCCTGGCACCCAAGTTCACTCTCAAAAGTGTTCCCAACACACAGCCTATAAAACCCCTTCCAGTCTCCGATTTGCACACTCCTAAGGCCTCTACGCCACGGCATTTCCTCCAGTGAGCTTAGATTTCTGAAGGATATGTAGGCTCATATTCTCTTAAGAGAAACAGATGGATGTCTTCTTTTTTAAATAATCTACTATGTAAAATAAACATAAATGTCATGCTTTGTTGACATTAGTAACATTTTTACAATTATTAGAGTAGTAACATTGTGCTTATACAAATATTTGTATTACTCATGTCCAAGATGGCAGGACCATCTTTTTAAATTTTTCAATTACAGTTTACATTAAATATTATTTTATACTAGTTTCAGATATATAGTGGTTAGACAATCATATACTTTACAGAGTAGTCCTTCCAATATTTCGAGTAAGTTGTCTTCCTAAGATTTGTCCTGACACTCCTAAAATCCACTAGGATTCAGTCTCCATAGTTATAATTAAGACTGTAACCAAGGTGACTCATTAATTTTAATATAAGCACAAATAAAGTTACTGTCTTCAATTCACAAATTTAGTTGCACATGCATGTTGAATTTGAGACACACGGAATGCTGTTTTCCCCTCAACAAATATTTTCCCTGATTCTGCATTTGAATTCCGCAAAGTCTGATTAATAAATACTTTTATAAGTTCCACATACAAATAGCACGAAGAAGCAAGGGATTTGAATTGACCAAGAACTAGAGCAAGATCACTCCTTTGTTGCCCAATTTCTCTCCCATGATTTATATTGAAAAATCCCTTTGCCCTGCAAACTCAGCACATCTGGGAGTTAGAATTTCTGTCATCATTTTTCATCATCAATAACAAGTTTTTACTGAAATGTAAGCATTTGTCACTTTGCCTAGTTCTGTCTCAGGGATAGTGAGTGGCCAATTATACAATTACATTAATCATCATATCAAGCTGTGTAAATATCCAAGTAGCTCTCTTGCCCGTGACAGTGAGGCATGCGTTTGCATTCCTTTCAAGGCGATTTTAAGTACAAAGAAAGTGGGCTATTTACCAGCGCTCTACCCCGCTCCTCTTCTCCTGCTCAGCAGCCCGTGGGCCCTTCGCTCGGGACACTGGCATCCACAGGCTGGGACGGCTGCCGGGAGCCGAACTGCCATCACCCCAGGACGGGACTCCTCAGACAGCGCACAGGCGCCCTGAGCCGGGCTGCCGCTCCCCGGCCTTTGTACAGCCTCGCAGCCCCGCCTCCGTGTCGGGCTCCCTGGGGACCCCTTCTCTGTGCTTTTTCCCAGGCGCGGACCTCCAGCACCACCTAGCGGTCAGAGCCCTGGAGCATGACCCTCCCTTTCGCAGGCGGATGCAGCCCTAGCTGCTAGCCTTTGCAGCTCTCGGTGACACATGCACAGAACAACGTCCTGTTCTTGTGTTTGTGGAGAATCCTTCCCCAAAACTGCGTTCAAATGTGTTTCCTAAATGGTTGTGCTTTTTGACTTTGCTTCTTTTCTCTTCCTCTTATGCATCGATTAAAATGCTGATGGCTCATCAACAGCTCAAATTCTCCTCTCCCTCTATCAGTCCTTCTCTCCAAACGGTCCCCAATGATTATCTGGGAGACCCGAGTCTGGGACCCTCAGTTTTGACCCTGCTGCACACTCCCTTGGTGGCCCAAGACTTTAAATCCTCCACAAGGACTGTGTTCGCCATGCCAGGTCGACCACTACAACATGCTTTTGTTATTCAAGCAAAAAGAGAAAAAGAGATTTTTTTCCTCTGGCCAGATATCCTGGCTTTTGGCAATAGTTTCTGGATCTCCCATTTCTCTGGTACCTAATACAAATAAAACATTTTTAAACGGACAAAAAAGAGACTAAGAAGGTATTAAATAATGATAAAAGCGTCAATGCAAGAAGGGGATATAAGATTCATAAATATTCATGCACCCAACATAGGAGCACCTAAATACATAAAACAGATATTTACAGGGAGAAAAGGAGAAAGTAACAGTTATAAAATAATAGTAGGGAACCTTAATGCCCCACTTACATCAATGAATAGATCATTCAGACAGAAAATCAATAAGGAAATATTAGCCAAAATGTCATATTAAATCAGATGAACTTCATAAATATGTATACAATTCATCCAAAACTGCAATTCTTTTCAAGTGCACACTAAACATTCTCCAGAAAAGATCATATGTTAGACCACAAAACAAGTCTCAATAAATTCAAACACTTTTCATACCAAACACTTTTCCAACCACAACAGAATAAAACTAGAAATCAATTACAAGAAGAAAAAATGGAAAAACAACACATTAACACATGTAGATTAAACATCATGTTACTGAACAATCAATGGGTCAATGAAAAAGTCAAAGAGAAAATAAAAACTACCTTGAGACAAATGAAAATGGGAACACAACTTTTCAAAATCTACAGGATGTAGCAAAAGCAGTTCTAAGAGCCGGACCGGTTTGGCTCAGTGGATAGAGCGTCCGCCTGCGGACTCAGGGGTCCCAGGTTCGATTCCGGTCAGGGGCATATACCTTGGTTGCAGGCACGTCCCCACTGGGGGGTGTGCAGGAGGCAGCTGATTGATCTCTCTCGTCGATGTTTCTGGCTCTCTATCCCTCTCCCTTCTTCTCTGTGAAAAATCAATAAAATATATTAATAAAAAAAAAGCAGTTCTAAGAGGAAAGTTTATAGAGATATAGGCCTACCTCATGAAACAAGAAAACCCCCAAATAAAAAATTTAACTTTATATCGAGGAAAAAAGAACTAGCAAAATCCAAAGTAAATAGATGGGAGGAAATACTTGTCAGTACAGAAATAAATGCAATAGACTAAAAAAAAATAGAAAATATCAATAAAACCAGAGCTGATTCTTTCAAAAGATAAGTAAAATTGACAAACCTCTAATAAGACTTGTCAAGAAAAAATGAGAACACAATTAAATAGAATCATAAATAAAAGAAAGGAGATTACAACTGACATGACAGAGTTACAAAGGATCATTAAAAAATACTCTGGCCCAGCTGGCATGGCTCAGTGGCTGAGCATTGACCTACGAACCAGGAGGTCATGATTTGATTCCCGGTCAAGGCACATGCCCGGATTGTGGGCTCAATCCCCAGTCGGGGGCATGCAGGAGGCAGTCGATCAATGATTCTTTCTCATCATTGATGTTTCTCTCTCTCTCTCTCTCTCTCTCTCTCTCTCTCTCTCTCCCCTTCCTCTCTGAAATCAATAAAAATTTATATATGTTTTTTAAAAAGAATACTCTGAATAATTATATGCCAACATATTGGACAATCTAGAACAGGGGTCCTCAAACTACAGCCCGCGGGCCACATGCAAATACAAATATTGTATTTGTTCCTGTTTTGTTTTTTTACTTCAAAATAAGATATGTGCAGTGTGCATAGGAATTTATTTATAGTTTTTTTAAAAACTATAGTCCAGCCCTCCAGCGGTCTGAGGGACAGTGAACTGGCCCCCTGATTAAAAAGTTTGAGGACCCCTGATCTAGAAGAAATAAATAAATTTCTAAAAACATACAATCTTCCAATACTGAAACAGAGACTTTGAACAGACCAATTACTAGCAATGAAATTAAAGCAGTAATCAAAACCCTTCAAACAAACAAACAACCTCCACAATCAGAAGAAAAACATTTAAAAAAGAATTAATATCTTTCCTTCTCAAAAAAATTCCAAAACATTTGAAGAGGAAGGCATGCTTTCAAACTCATTCTACAAGGCTGGCATTACCCTGATACCAAAATCAAACAAAGACACTACAATAAAAGAAAATTATAGGACAATATCCCCGATGAACATAGGTGCAAAAATTCTCAGCAAATATTAGCAAAATAATTTTTAACAACATATTAAAAGAATTATACCATGATTTATTACAGGGGTGCAAGAATGGTTCAATAAACACAAATCAATCAAACACCACATTAACAAATCCAAAAATAAAAGTCGTATCTCAATAGAAGCAGACAAAGCATTTGACAAAATTCAACATACATTTATGATAAACACTCAATAAAGTAGTTATATAGGGGGCATACCTCAACATAATGAAGGCCATACATGACAAATGCACAGCTAACATCATACTCAATGATGAAAAGCTGAAAGCTATTCTTCTAATATCAGTAAGAAAACCAGGATACTCTCTCTCACCACTTTTATTCAACATAGTATTAGAAGTCCGAGCCACAGCGACCAGACAAGGAAATAATAAAATAAAGGCATCCAAATAACAAGTGTTGATAAAGCAAACCCTTGTGCACAATTTGTTGCATTGTAAATTGCTGTACCACTATAGAATTTCATCAAAAAAAGTAAAGATAAAACCACAATACAACCCAGCAATTCCAATTCTGGGTATTTTGAAGAAAATAAAAAACACTAACTCAAAAAGATACATACACTCAAATGCTAATTGCAACATTTACAATAGCCAAGATATGGAGGCAAACTAGATGTCCATTGATAAATGAATGGATAAAGATATGAAATAATAGAATATTAGTTGCCATAAAAAAGCATGAAATCTTGCCATTTGCAACAACATGGATGGACCTGGAGGGCATTTTGCTGAGTGAAGAAGTCAGACAGAGAAAGACAAATACCATATGATTTTACTTAAATGTGGAATCTAAATGAAACAGCAACAAAAGAACAGAAACAGTCTCATAGAGGACAAAATGATGGTTGTCAAAGAAGAGGGAATAGTAGAAACAGTGAAGAAGAATAAGAGGTAAAAATTCCAGTTATGCAATTCGAAAGTCATAGGGATATAATGTATAGCATGGGGAATATAGTCAATAATATTGTAATAAGTTTATACAGTAACAGATTGTTACTAAACGTATTGTGATGATTGCATCAGAAGTATATGATGCCAAATTGTACACCTGAAACTAATAAAATATTGTATGTCAACTACAATTTAAGTAAATATAATTTGAAATATAAATAAATGAATAAGGTGGCTGTACCATTTTGCATTCCCACCAGCAGTAAATGAGAGTTGCTCTTGCTCAACATTCTCATCAGAGTTTGGTGTTGTATTTTGGATTTTAGCCATTCTAGTAGGTATCTTATTGTTCAAATTTGCAATCCCTTGATGACACATGATGTTGAGCAATTTTTATATACTTATTTACTATCCATATATCTTCTTTAGTGAGATGTCTATTTACATCTTTTGCCCATTTTGCAGTTAAGACATTGTTTTATTGTAGAGTTTTATTGGATTGCTCAGTTGGTTGGAGTGCTGTCCCATACACCGAAAGATTTTGGTTTTGATTCCCAGTCAGGGTGCATACAGGAGACAATCAGTCAATGTTTCTCTCTCACATTGATTGTGTTATTCTGAACAGTCTATCTTTAAATGGAATGCTGTGTGTTCCTAAGAAGTGGCAGCAGCAATTTCCATGGATAAATAGGTTCGAATCCATGTGGATGGGACTTAAAATGTCATGTCCTTCTCCAATTAATGTCGAGCTCATAAAATGACCTTGGCATAGAATAGTTAAATAATGTACCATCTTGACATGAATTTCTATTTTCAGAAGACAGAGATCATGAGGAGGCTATTTCCAGAGGGAAAAAAAGTAATACTTAAAACTATTTCCTCATATTAAAACCTCTTCATCTTGGGAATAATTTCAGAGCAGTTGCTTCATAACCTATTACAAACACATAGACATCTATGAGTTAAACCTTATTTCAGTGTTTGCCCTTCTCCATGCAAGGGCTCCTGCCTGCCACAGTTGGGTGATGGGTTTCATGAGGGGCACAGAGATGAGGAAGCTCTATTTCCTCTTCAGGGAGTTTATAATCAAGTTAGGTAGGAAGAGATAAGCCCAGAATAGTGATTATATAACCCAGATGTAATTAAAGAGAAGTACTAACATCTATAGGAATTGAGAAAGAAAACTGGCACATGTCTAACCTACTATTAAAATCCCAGCAGGACATGGAGTTCTCAGATGGTCAAATAAAGAGACAAACGGGAAGGGGGGGGGGGACTATTTACAGATGGGGAGGTGACAGAGACAGCAACTGCAGGAGCCTCCCTCCTAGCCCTACAGGGGCCCGGGGAGTGGGATCCAGCTCTGGAATTGATTGGGGGCGGGGAATGTGGAGAACCACCCAACCCAGCACAGCAGGCCCTGTGAGGGGGCATTGCCACCGTCAAATTGAGGAGGATCTGTGGTTGGAGCTTCGGAAACTGCATTCTAACACACACATTCCTGGGGCCACTCTATAGATGGAACTTCAGTATTTCATGGTTTGATCATTTTTATGAAATATATAAAATATTTTTAAAGACAATGAAACAATTACATAGTTGATTGTACTCTATTATAAAATACACTCACAAATGCACAAGCCCAAACACACACAAACCAATAGCTTAAATAGATCAATATTCCAACTACACAGCTAAGAATAATATAGGTTAGCTAGATCTCATTTTTATTGCAATATAATTGACATAATATATTAGTTTCAGGTGTACACTATAAAGGATTTGCTATTTGTATATATTGCAAAATGACCACCACCCTAAGTCTAATTAACATCAATCCCCACACACAGTTATAATTTTTTCTTGTGATGTAAACTCTTAAGATTTACTCTCTTAGCCACTTTCAAATATACCATACAGTATTATTAATTCTAGTCACCTGTATATTACACCCCCATTTTTTTTATAACTGTAAGTTTTTACTTTTGACCTCTTTCACCCGTTTGAGCACTCTGAACCCCCTAAATCTCATCTTAAAACAGTATCATATCATTTGTCAGGTGTCCAAGGTCATTCCACATGCATTATCCCATTTGATCCTCTAAAGCAGTGGTTCTCAACCTTGGCTGCACAGTAGAATCACCTGGGAATCTTTTTAAAATCCTGATTTCTGGGCCTCATCCTCCGGAAATTCTGTTTCTTTGTTATGGGGTAGGGCCACAACATTAGTAACAGATTCCTCTAGGTCAGTGACCCCACCCCATAACAAAGAAACAGAATTTCCGGAGGATGAGGCCCAGAAATCAGGATTTTAAAAAGATTCCCAGGTGATTCTAATGTGCAGCCAAGGTTGAGAACCCCTGCTCTAAAGAGCCTTTTGAGGAAGTTATTATTTTGCAAGTGAGAAAACAGTGATGTAGAGACTAAATGACTTTCTTAGTATAATTTAAGCTATAAAGTGAGTAAAAACCCCAAAACCTGAACCCAGATCTTTCAGTCCCAACTACAGTGCTCTTCCCACCATCCCTTGCTTACATTGCCAAGTAAGTTTACATGATCAAATCTGCTATATGTCACAAATACTATTTTTATTTCCACTGGCATGAATGTCACTTTTATGTCAAGAAAAATGATGAAAAACAACAAATTCCAGGTTCCTGAGGAGCCTTCTTCAATGAAAATAAAATAATGGGTTTTCTCAGGCAAAAAAAAAGTGAGATTTCAAAAATAAATATCTACTAAGTTCCATAAGCAAGAGAAAAGTAACAG